GGGGGGGGGGGGGGGGTGGTAATTCATGAACCTATATCAATATCAATTGGTTGACAATTCAACAGTTATCGTACTGAAATCAGATCAAATTCTACCCCAGGGTGGTCTGGAATAAGTCATCATTGAAGCTGTTTTAATGACAGAGATAACTGCTGCTAATACCGCAATCCCTAGTCGAGTCAGCAGTTTCTGGGTGGTCAGCGAGGGAATTGTGGAGAAGTCTGATAAAATGTCATTGAAATGCCTAAAAAGAGAAGAAGCTTAGACATGGAAAGGGCGTTGAGAAGCTCATAACAAACTGAAAAAGGAGAAAACTCTGAACTGGACTGGATTCCTAAAACAGGGCAGGTAACTGAGAACACAGAAACAGACAGAGAAGAGAGATTGAGGTTTTATACTGAATCCCTACGTTCTTCCCAGCAAAACCAACAGAAACTCGACAAAAACCAAGGTCCTTGAAGATGAAAGATCGAGTTTTCTGGAAAAAAATCGCCTTGGGGAAAATCAAAAACCTATAGATTTTCAAAATCGTGAAGGAGGGGACCAAGGATGGCAACTGAGATTACCTCGAAACTCTTTGATGACACTTATTCACCAACTAAAAAATGTAAAAGAAAATCTTAGAATCAATAGAATTGCGTGGCTTCGAAGGTTGATGGCAAGGTACGACGGGGTCACTCGTCTAATTGATAGGCCGGTTAGGTCATCCACTTTAAGGAATCACTCGGTCAGTTACCTACTGCTATCGAATCGTCTTTTGATCAACGAAATTACTGGATAGTAAATCGTGAGCTAGTTGACCTCGCAACATGCTTTTCCTTTTAATTTTCTGATTTCAAGTCAATTTGAGTCGAACTTCAGCAATGCTTCGAAAAAAAAAGATGGAGGATTCCGAGATGTAGATGAACACGAAGTAAAGTATGTTGGTGTATATTCGTGGTGATCAATTTTCCATCGAAAATACCACTGAGATGCTCAAAAAATCATTGAAGTAAACGATCAACCTTTGATTTATTGCTTGCCAGCGGACTGTTTTTCATTGATGTTTGGCCACAATCTCAATTCAAAGCTCTGCAACTACGCTACAACCAATAGATAGGAAAATATTGTAAGGAGGGAGACACTGGGGTGTAGGAACGATCAAACTAATCTAATAAATCGATAAGCCAATTGCTAATTAATGAGGAAGGTGAATTATGCCTGTGCAATCCAATCGTAAACCGCTCTGTTAGAACGCCAGCGGAAAAATGACTCCAATAGGGGGCTGACAAGCAAGGCCAGAGGAATACAGTAATCAGGAAATTGTGAAGTTTTGGGTCTAAATCAACCCGATGACCATGGGAATCATTTAGTGCCACTAAATTTTGTCCAAAGGAGGGGGAGGGGGGCAAAGCCTTGAGAGATCCGGAATCTACAGCCCCAAATGTCAAAACCTACGGCCAGGGATACAGAACTCCCAACTCAAGGGCTTTTTTCTAGTAGTTACCAGTTTATGAAACCCTATGAAAGAACGGCTCAGATCTGCTACATGGGGAGCCCAACGATCACAACTTTTTGAAAAAAGGGCATATCTTCCGGTCTGTGATGAACCTCGATTCGATTCCTCCGAAACCCTACTGAAAACCATGAGTCGATATAGACGTAGCACAGACAAGATCGGTTCCGGGACACCTTTAAAGCTCTGGCAACCCAGTAAAGTCCAGACTTAGTTGATGATTCAAGGTATTAACAGTAAAGAACCGTGGGAGCTTATGTGCTCTAAAGGCATATGAAAAGGTGAAGTGACAGGTTTTTTTAGAGAGAGATCTGAATTTATGAGTAGGAAATGGGAGGGGACACAAGCAAAGNAAAGCATATGAGTCTAAAAATACACCCGGACTCCGCCTCCGTCAACAAGAAAACGACGCTTTCTACTAAACGTACTGCAGATTTTGAAGACACAAGCTATTTCAAAGGCAAAATGCTGCTTTTCGGGAGTTAAAAACCAAGAATATGAGATTTCTACAGTAATCCAATGAAACGAGATTTGACTAGACTGTCACAGGATTTGGCCGTTGATCTTGAGCGTCTGAACACGAGTATCGCTAAGCGAAGCTATCGTCGTCGGAGAAACGGCGAATTAATTGGAATCGCCGGCAATTTGAGCTCGTTCCGAAATCTGGCCACCTAACGGCCAACACGGACAGCTTCAGACACTTGCCAGCACTGAGCTAGAGGTATCAAATCACAAGCTCTCTAATGAGAAATAAACAATTTCCGAAACGCCGCTCAACTATCCCATACGCAGCACTAAACTTGTTCTACTCTTTCTCCGAGGGTCCCTGATTGGCACCGCGCCAATTTCCTCAAGGGTTGGCTAAAACGTTTCAAAAACTTGACGAAGCCTTTCTAAAACCTATGGGTGAGAATAAAGCTGAGAACCCAGAAGCCAGATTTCCCATACTTTACAAAACCAACCCCTCGAAAAGCCTCTGATATTCAACCAACGCACTACCTTCCTGCGCCTTACAGAACTGGACTTTACTTCATAATAATAGTAACATAATTGAACCAAAACATATGCGCCGTGTCTACCGGATATATTACAGCACTAGAACACAGTTATTACCCAGATGAACCGGTCCATCTCATAGCAGCTACGAGCTGGGATGACTGGATGGGTGTTTTCGCGCACACTTCGAACGGGCCGGTCCGAAATTGTCTGCGTTATGGGTGTTGAACAGCATGTGGTGTGAATTACATAAACATATTCGCCGTTCATATCCCGGAAAGTGGTAAATCCAGTTAGGTAAATCGATCAGGTAAAATTAAAAATACTGAAAATTGACCAATACGAGGAGACATGAGTGAACGACTAGATGAACGATAATGAGATGCAACTGGACTTTTGGACTGTGATCATAAACGTTTATAATAGACCCTGAGGAGTTTTTATGTCTATTCCAATCGGTACGGTCATCCTGAAATTGTTTCGAACGGAACAATTCACACCTCTCGTTTAGAGCGCTCAGTTGCACTTAGCACTACCGGCATCGACACCGTATCTCACAGGCGCAATTACTGGAGGCACCACAGCCATCGTTTGCTGGGACACTGTTTTCCCGTAAGTTTAACCCTAGGTTTTACAAATTGTCAACCCTTGAATCGAATCATTTGAAAACTCTACTGAAAAAGTGAAGACATCAGGAGCGGGTGATAAAAGTCGCCAAGAACATCCACTCTGCTTTTTTGGATTCACTTTGCTTTTCGTGAATTTATCGGGGAAAAATGAAAAAGGGAATGAGTGTTTTGTGTGAATTACGAGAATTCCACGAAAAGACAAAGTACCGAACTAGAGAAGCAGAGTGAATATTTCCTGCGTCTCTTGCCACGCAACTGAAGTCTTGCGCTTAACTACGACTTTGATTTAATGCTGATTAAGAGCTATTCTCCCAATGAGGTCAAATTTAGGAACGACGCAGAGGTCTTTTCAGTATCATTTCCATGAAGCGATCCGTCCGTAACCTTTGATTTCTTGTAGCTTGTCTACTGCTTTATTTAGCGCTTCACTGCATTTTCCTTAGTTTAGAAATTCGGATTGGAAAATCAGAAAAAAAAAACCAGTAGACATGCCATTGTTCATGCAATAAACCCATTGAACCGGAGCACGCCGCTATCACTTATCAAAGTCACAAAATCATTGAACGCACGACGACTAAAGGGCAATTAGCCGAGATATTTGAAAAGAAATTCATTCAAATAATCAAACAATGAGTCAATATATCGACTAGTCGGCATTTCGTTGAAAAGATTCTACTCAAAAATCCACTCCGCCATTTTGAAACCCTTTCAGCGGTCGGCTTGAAATCTTAAAAACTCTGCTCCTCATCTCAGTGAACAAGAACTAGACCTTGGAATCCTACTGATTGTGGAAGGATAGAACTTATACCTACTTGCACAATGATACTTTTGAATGGTAAAATGGACTTTCACGAGTTTTTATTTAGTTTTGAAAGAAAAAACTGCAATGAATGTCAAAGTTTGAGCAAAAGCTCAAAGTTTAACATTTGTTGCATTCTTTAAAAGGCTCGCCGCGATAGAAAGGAAGCCTGTGAATTCAGCATTCAGTAGCATGGTGCTTAGGACCTCGAACGAGGAGGACCTCGAACGAACTCGAGGAGGACAGAACAGATACGAACGGGTAACTCACACTTCACCAGACATTAACTCGAATACAGATCAAGCTTAAACTGACCCTACACTTTCCCCTGCAGGAACAAACCAGAAAAACAGTATGAGAAATACGAACGGTGGGAACTACCACTTAGTAACTGCTGCAGCTCCTGCTGCTGCTGCTGATGTTTCGACGACCGCGATCCTTATCAAACGTTGCCAGTTTTTGTTCTTTCCATTAACGCGTTTTTTGCGCTCCCCTCAAATCATTGCCATTTCAACACACACACAAACCGCATGCATGCTCGAATTGAACCGCATGCTGTCCTCCGGTACTTCCGCCCACTCACTTTAACCTACGAAGACCAGCAATTTCGGTTTTCATTCGACGAACTACAGAAATTAACTCTTCGCGCTGGCATTTTGCCAAATATATAGAGGATAGATCTGAAAAGATGGACTGCTTAGGGAACTATTGCGGAGATACTTCATTTATAGTAATAGTTCATATATATTTACTGACAACTTCAATAGGTCCTTAGGTCCGTCCAAGAAAATCGAGCAATCTCATTGAACGATTACAGCCCGGTTGAGCTTTTCTGGAATTTTCTATCAGCCCCCTTCAGAGCCTTTCATCCAGATTGGTTACTGTACTTTTGTAGAAAAAACCAACAAATGAAGAGGTAGTTTTCCAGCAGCTCTAATTTTCGATTTGAGGCATGGTTACTTTGATGGCTAAAGAACGACGTTGGACTTTGCTATTCGGGCTCTTGTGCTGCATAGGCAAGAAAAGTGTTTCTTTATTGATAACCTGCCAACAAGAATTAGTAATTTAGCAAGTAGTCCCGCCCCTGGTTTGCATAGGAAGTGATAAACCTTACAAAACAACCAGAAATTCAAGACTAACCAAGGAATAATCACTTTGAAAATTTTCTGGACTCACCCAACGCTAACTTGAAAAAATAGTGAGGAAACCCATTGGAAAGGGAAAAGTTGAAAGGGACTTGAGCGGGTGAATATGAAAAATCTCAAATGGGTCGATTTTAATGGACAAAATGAAGCAAAGTAAACGAGAATGTGCCATTTCGGCAGTTAACAACTATTCGCAACTTCGCTCTTGACTCTTTAACAAACAACCACGATAAATCGATTAGTCTTTTCACAAGTAAATTAACTAGTTACTCTTTCATTGCTGGAAGAATTACCTGGCTCTCCGTAGATCATGGTCACTAGGTACACATCGGGAACTGCAAACCTAGGTACTTAGGTCTCCCTTCTGTCATTATCGGTACCTACAGGTACCTACAGCGCCAAAAGAGGGCTTAAAGTTCCACTGGAACTCTGAAATCCACTCGACTCATAAAGACCCACGGGCTATTTTCAGTCCAAGGCTCCGAATTATTAGTAATTAGCTTAAACTTTCAGTCCTTAACGATTGCTTACCATTTTCTACTCCACAAAGGCACATGCTCCATTGAAAACTCTAAGCAACTCAGAACTGAAACCATGTTGTTATAGCCGGCTCAGCTCATAAATTACAAATCACACATGTTTCTTGGTAATAAATTACTCTTAAACTTCAGAGGATAACTCATCAACAAGAAGATAAACACATGTGCTATCAATCCTGCCGACTACCGAAAAATTGCTGATGACTTATTGGTCGTCGACAAAATCGAATGAACACATGCTCACGTACAAAAATCGACTAATGCATCAGAACGTCCATTTAACACTGGCACACTACACACAACCAACAGGCAGGCCAGGCCGTTGGCAC